CCCAGGACCTTTGCACTGAGCTACATCCTAAGCCCTTTTTTATTGTGAAGGAGGTTCTCCTAATTCACTGAATTGCTCAATTTGGACTTGAGCTTCTGATCCTCTGCCTCAGTTTACCACAGTGCTGGGATTACAGGCCTGTGCCACCACACCTGCCTTAACCTGTTTATTTAGCATATTATCTAGTTTAATTCTCATTGTGACCCTACAAGAATGATATTACTCATTCTTGTGTTGTAGCTGAAGATGACAACGCCCAGAAAGGTGGGTGATTTTCCCAGGGGGCACTGAGCATGAGCTCATGATGTCACCCTGGTGTCTTGTTTTTTTTTGTCTTGCTTTTGCACCAGTGCTGACTGGGGGTTTCCTGTCCTCCCTCTGCATATGTTCAAAAACAAGGAGCTTTTATGGCACTTTTTGCCATGGCTGTTGGGAAGCTCTCCCCTAGCACAAACTTCAGTTTGTCTCCTTTGAGCTCCCCTGGCTTCAGGGAACCTGTAGAGCTTAGTTTTAATGTCAGTAACACTGACTCTCTCTTAGACAAAGCTTCCTGCCTTTTCTTGTCCGGCAGCCTCCTGAAGACCATTAACATCCCTTGAATGGGCCAGCGGCCATACTGGCCCATCTACAGAGAGGGACTGAATTGGCTATCACCTCCCTGTGCTGGACACCCATTCCTATGAATGATAGGACCAAATGACCAGGATCTTTGTAGGGACAGTGGTTTATAGTCAGGAAAAGCATAGATTAAGGTGCCGGGTGTGGTGGCACACCCCTGTAATCCCAGCACTCGGGAGGCTGAGGCAGGAGGATCACTGTAGTTCGAGACCAGCCTGGGCTACAAAGTGAGCTCAAGGCCAGCCTGAACTTCATAGGGAGACCCTGTCTCAAAAAGACCAAAAAAAAAAAAAAAAAAAAAGTATAGAGTAAGGGCCTCATTAGGCTTTATTAAAGAATTAGTAAAAAAATCTTACTAAAAGTGCCTTTTGTCTCTGCGGTTAGATTCAGTGGCTAATCCTGACTAAAGGAATTAAAACTTTACTGGAAGAATTCCTTGAGGACCACTTAAAAGGGCAAAGGTAAAGAAAGAGACACAAAACAAACAACCATAAAGCCAGCCAGAGAGCACAGTATAGCACAAGCGCGGGAACAGACCCAAGCCCTTTTTAGAAGGCAAAATGCAGACTCTGCGTGGCTAGGGGCAGCAAGCAGCTTTCAAGCAGCTTTGTGGTTTGAAGCACAGGTTGTGGTTTTGACACCTGCCTCTGTGCGGACAGCACTGTCCTCCTGGTCCCGGTTGCCATGCCTACCCGATTTCCCATTAGCCCACAGAACCGACACCCTAGCAACAAGCCCAATACCCAGTTAATCGGTCGACCTTGGGTGTGGGGGGTGGAGACGGGACCTCTACCCCATAAAACAGAACCGCTGCCCCAATTTGGCAGTTTCTCAGCTCTGAGCACCCCCGCTCCTCCCCCGGAGCGGCTCTGTGCTGCTTCCTGCAGTCCTTACAGTGAAGTACTTCTGCTTTGCACCGGTCTTCTCTGACTCGGGCTCCTCTTTCTATGAGAAGCCTGGCGAGGGAGAATCTGCGGACCCCTAGACCCTGGACCCACTGGACAGAGCAATAAGAATTTACAGCGAAGGAAGGGACGCTCCCTAGTGGAGAGGTTAACCAGAGGGAGAGCAGGTGGGCAAAGCATGAGGAGCCAGGAGCGCGGAAATCAGGATGACCGGCACCCCAAACCCCAACAGATACAAAGGAAATAAGGGGCGGCTACCCAACTTAGAAGAAAATTCTTATTTAGTATACAAAAATACATATATATAATACATAAATCTATAAACACATATATTTGTGTATATAAAGTATATATATATCTCACTCTAGGATCACTGTATTACTGCACTAGGTACACACACATCCCTTTATGTAATCACTGACTCTAAACTGCTTTTCTTTTTTTTTTGTCTTTTTGAGACAGGGTCTGCCTATGTAGTTCAGGCTACCCTTGATCTCACTTTGTAGTCCAGGCTGGTCTCGAACTCGCAACGATCCTCCTGCCTCAGCCTCCTGAGTGCTGGGATTACAGGTGTGCACCACCACGCTCGGCTCTGCTTTTTTTCTTTTTATAAATAAATCGTCTTCCTAAAACTCTGTCTCTCTAATTGACTATTAGTACTGACTTTTTGACCCCGCCCAGCTCCTAACCTCCCTGTGACACTTTCAGTCCCAACTTGGCAATGATGGAAATTCCAGACCGGAGCTACGTTTTTGATTTGTTTAAATTTTAACTTATATTGGTACGTATATGCAGTGCACAATGATTGTATCATGGGGTTGGTACTGGTTTTTGAGCCTAAGTGAAGGAGCTTGTGGCTGCAGACACCAACTCCAAAAATACTCTCCTCCCCACACCCTTCCTGTTATTAACCAAAGGCTAAGGCTGCACTGTCAAAACTGTCAAAGAAACTGGGTATGTTGATGCGTACCTCTAATTCTAGCACTCTGGGAGGCTGAGGAGCCCAGCCTGCCTGGGTAATTTTGCAATTTAGTGAGACCTTATCTAAAAAAAGAAAAGGGAAAGCCAGGCGTTGTGGCATACGCCTGTAATCCCAGCACTCGGGAGGCTGAGGCAGGAGGATCATGAATTCGAGCCCAGCTGGGGAATTTAGGAAGGCCTGTCTCGAAAACTAACCAGCTAAGTAACTTCTGCCCCTAACAAAACAGAAACAGGGCGGAGGGGATCTTGGGAGGAATAAGCAAAACTAGGTAAACACCGAGTGAAGCTCACAGAGAGAAACACAAAGGCCAAATGACAGGATGACTCTGTGTGTTCCTTCGTTATTAGCTGAGCACTTGTTTTGTGCCACACATTTTATCCTAACCCGGAGACAAGCGTTGAACAAAACTTATGTTCTGGTAGGAGAAGACAGACAATAAACCAACAAATAAATATATTTCATGTCAGATGGTGTGTTGGTTTGGGGAAGGCCCAAGGGTCAGTGGTGGAATCTAGAAAGTCTGTGCCAGCGGGATGAAGGATCTGTGCCAGCAGGCTGAGGGGTCTGCACTGGAGCCAGGAAGCGCCACTCAGAAGAACCAGAGTCCCCGAAAGGTGCCACAGCCATCCTCAGCAACAGTGAGGTCCCGAGCTCCTCCAATGGTGAAGACAGCCGAGCTCCCATCAGGAAAGCCAATGCAGCAAGCTTCTCCGGGAGACCGGCAGTGCACCTTCTTCCCCTCCGGAGCCAGGAAGCGATGCTCAGAGTGAGGACCAGAGCTCCCCCAAAGTGAACTGAAGCCATTCTCAGTGCCAACAAGTCCCGAGCTCCTTGGACGAAGAAAATAGCCAACTTCATCAGGAAAGTCAGCACGACAAGCTCCTCCAAAACAACCAACAGCTCCTTACAGCTTCTACCCGCTCCAACAGCTCTCTCAGCTCCCAACAGCCTCCTTCTCCATCTCCAGTTCTGCCTCTTATGCTGCTGACAACAGTCCCCAGGTGGGCCTCCCACACCCAGCACCATGCTTACTCAGATCAGCTGGGGGTTACAAGTTGACCACCAGTTGTCAATCCACTACAGATGGCGACAGATGTTTCAAAGAAAAAATAGGGAAGGCAGATCTTGGGATGACATGAGATTTAAATCCATGGAATGAACCTGGTGGTACGCATCTATAATCCCAGTACTTGGGAGGCTGAGGTAGGAGAATCACATGTGGGCAAGTTAGCAATTTAGAGAGAGCCTTTTCTAAAAATAAATAAAATAAAACTAAATTAATAAAATGAAGAGCTGAGAATGTAGTTCAGTGTGAAGGCTCTGGGTTCAATCTCCGGCACTTCGAAAACAAACAGACAAAACCCAACAAACCTCAGAGAATTACCAGGCATGGAGAGTCAGCTACAGTCCCAGTTACTTGGGAAACTGAGCAGGAGGATTGAGGGCAAAAGAGTGAGACAGTGTTTCAAAAAAAATATGGAGGACCTCGGAAAGGACCCATTGAAAATGTGATGCTAGCGGCTGGGGATTTAGCTCAGCGGCACAGCGCCTGCCTGGCAAGCTCGAGGTCGTGAGTTCGATTTCCGGTACTGGGACCCCCCCCCCAAAAAAAGAAAATGTGATGCTAGCTGGGCGTGGTGGCGCATGCCTATAATCCCAGCACTCAGGAGGCTGAGGCAGGAGGATCCTTTCGAGTTTGAGCCCAGCCTGGGCTACAAGGTGAGCTCAAGGCCAGCCTGAACTGCATAGCGAGACCCTGTCTCAGAAAGACAAAAAGAAAAAAAAAAAAAAAAAAAGAAAGAAAAAAGAAAATGTGATGCTGAGTACAGATGTGAGGCTGGAAAGGGAGGGAGTTATGCAATATCTGGGTTTGAAACTCCATCTGTCAGGCAAAGCGGGTGCAAGTGTGAAGTTCTTGTGGGACGAGGGCAAACTGGGATAAGAAACAGGTCAGGGGTCAGAGCCTGGATGAAATTCGGACTGAGACTTGAAAGATAAGCACACAGCAAGGCCTGTGCTCCCAGGCAGAACTGAGCTCTGGCTGCAGGCTCAGGATTCAGTTCGTTCATTTATGCAGCTGTCTCTCTATCATCCATCCTCCAGGCTCCCGGGCGCTGGCTCGGGGACTGTGTTAGGCGCTCGGGAGAAAATGCCCCCCTGACCTCTGGAAGAAAATCTTTCAGGCCTTGTGAGGGTGATTCTGTGAGTGTGACCCGGGCGAGCTGGGAGCTTGGGAAGCCACGGCTGACACCTGGGGAGGAGCTGCAGGCGCTGGGGAGGACCCCAGAAGGGCGGAGGAGGAAACAGGGAAGGAAGGGGGCCGCTGCCTGGTATGTGCCCTCTGTCTCCCCGCGGGCCCTGAGCGCTGACTCCAGGCGGGGCTGTGACGGAGCGGCGGACGGGCCAGGACAGGTGGCCCTGACCAGATGCCCGCCCGCTGGGCGCTCAGTGCCGGCTTCAGAGCAATTCCAGAGGCGGGGGAGGGGCTGGGCACAGCAGTTAAATATAGCTCTGGGGCCGGGCCCCACCCCAGTGGGTCTGCCTTCTGGTCAGGGTGTGCCTGCCCCCCTGCTGTCCACTGCCGTCCTCGCTCCACGCCTGCGGCCAGCCCCGCAGCTCTGATCGCATCGTTAGGCCTGACCCTGCCCGCTGGGAGTCTCTTGCGGCCTGAGACCTCTCCCCAGAGCTGTGAGTCCTGGGGGCCTGGCGGTGTGGGGGATGGGGGGCTGGGGCTCCTAGAGAGGAGAGGGAGAAGCTGGCTCCGCTGGGGGGTTCTAGAGAATTCGGGCTTGGTGCTGAGGCCTGGCCTGGGTCAGGCGTCCAGGCCTGGGGCTAAGACGGGCAGGCGCGGTGGGCGAGACTGCCTGGAACCCGGGCCTGGGTTTAGGAGCTGGAGCTCCTGGAGGGTCCTGATAGGGACGTATTTCCGATAGCATCCGAGAAAGCAGGGGACTCCCTTGAGGAAGGGGACCAGGCCCCTCTCCCCCCTCGGCCGAAACCGGGGTGTGAGGTGGGGTAGGCTGGGCTCCCCTGCGGGGCCACAGGCCCGGCGGAGCGCGGGCGCACGGCCTGCCGGCCTCGCTGAGGGCTCTGCCTCCTCCTCCAGCTCAGCATGTCCACCGCGCCCCGCCTCCTGCACCAGGAGCTGTCCTGCCCGCTGTGCCTGCAGCTGTTCGACGCGCCCGTGACCCTCGAATGTGGCCACAGTTTCTGCCGCGCCTGCCTGGGCCGCGTGGGCGGGGAGCCGGCCCCGGACGGCACGGTGCCCTGCCCCAGCTGCCAGGCACCCACGAGGCCGCAGGCGCTCAGCACCAACCTGCAGCTGGCGCGCCTGGTGGAGGGCCTGGCGCAGGTGCCGCAGGGCCACTGCGAAGAGCACCTGGACCCCCTGAGCGTCTACTGTGAGCAGGACCGCGTGCTCGTGTGCGGCGTGTGCGCCTCGCTCGGCTTCCACCGCGGCCACCGCCTGCTGCCCGCCGCCGAGGCCCACGCGCGTCTCAAGGTGCCCCTGGCCGGGCTTGGGCGGGATCGTTGGGTAGAGTGAGCCCCACGAGAGGGAGTGCTCGGATATGCGGGTGTCCAAAGGCCCCAGAAAGACGTGTCCAAAAGTATTTATTGGGCTGTGCAGGAGTAAACGACAGGTGCAGGGGCGGGCGACAGGGTCTGGAGGCACCCCGGGGCGCTTGATCCATCCCTATGCAGAAGAAGCTGTCTTTGTCCTGCTAGCGGGAGGGGCTCCCTCAGTGGCTCCTAGAGCCGGCAGAGCACCTGTCCTCAGGCCGGAGTTCCCGGTTTCAAGACGGCCCCTGCGCAGCCTCACAGCGCTCCCTGCACCAGCCCGGCAGACTCCTAGCTCACGGCAAAACCCTTTTCATAGGAGTCCACCCAGCCCAGCCCAGCCTCGCCTGTGGGGTTGGCCCCAGCATTCACAACATCATCCAGCTTTATCTGTGGACAGAGAACGGAACCTGTGGAAGGGAGCCCAGTGGCAGCAGCTGCGAGATCCAGTAGCTGCCGGGCTCCAGGGGTGGGGTGGTGAGAGGAGGGGCTGGGTCGGGAACCTTGCACAGCCTGGGAAGGGAGGCCTGCGATGCCCAGCCGGGCTAACGAGGAAGCCGCTCAGCCTCCCGGCAGATGCCCATGGCCAGAGGTGCCCGCGAGGTTTGTGCCCAAGTCCTCGCCGTGGAAGGGACCAGCTGTCAGTGAGGTCCCCCAAGAGCCTCTCCTGCGGGATGCTCTGACAGCCTTGGGGCAGCGCCCCACCCCCAGCATCAGCTTGAATCTTTTGAATTCACCCGAGGCCAGGTTCTCAGCGCCTGCCGACTGCGTCTGGCTTCTTCCTGGTGGCTCAGCCCTCCACCCTCGGGACTCTGGTCGTGCCTGGCCCGCGTAGGCGAGAGGCGGTCCAGGAGGCCGTCCCGGGGAGGAGCCGTGGTCCAACCCTGTGGCACCTGCTAGGCGGGGACTCCTCGGCACACACCGCCTGCCGGCTCTCTCAGGCTCCCCGGGGAGCAGGGGCACTGGTTTGTTGAGGTGGTACAGCTACTCCCATTCCACCGACGGGGAAACTGAGGCCAGAAGCCATGGAGTCAGGAAGGGACCCGCTGGATTCCAGGACCACACACCTGCCTGCAGACGCAGCCTTGCAGGGCTGTAGGGCTGTAGGCTGAGCTTGTATCCTGGGAACCACAAGCTAACAGGCTTCGACAGTAGGGTTCAGCCCCCAGAGTGTTTAGTGGGTCTGTACAGGACCCCTTTAGAAACCTGCCTGTCCCCAGAGGGTGTGGCTGTCCGGGGAGGCTGCCTGGGGGTGTCTGGCCGGCAGAGGCTGATGTTCTGCTTTTTAAAAATTTTTTTCTTAAATTTTTTTGTATCAGGACTTGAACTCAGGACCTTGCCCTTGGCAGGCAGGCATTTATGCCACTGAGCTATATCCCCGGCCCAAAAATGTTTTTTTTTTTTTTTTGTACCGGGAATTGAACTCAGGACCTTGCGCTTGCCAGGCAGGCACTTGTGCCACTGAGCTATATCCTGGCCCTGATGTTCTGCTTTTAAAGGGCGAGGCCCAAGAGTCGGGGAGTCTGTGTTTCTTTTTCCACATATGCTTCCCTCGCCCCTGGAAGCTGCCGTGTGTCACAGGTGCTGTATTGCCTGTCTGGCTGGGGAGCCCGAATCCTGCTTGAGTTGGTCCTCCTTGGGGCTGAGTGCCGAGGGTCAGGGAGGGGAAGAGTCGGCCCTCAGGACCAATGCCGGCCAGGGCTGGGGCTGGGGACACTGCTGGAAGAGGAGCTGGCCTTGAGTGCGAGCTCCAGACGGCAGGTTTTTTTGGGGGCGGGGCAGCAATGTGAGTTTGGGGTGGTCAGCATCTCTGTCTCTCCTCCCCGCCGCCCAGACTCAGCTCCCGCAGCAGCAGCAGCAGCTGCAGGAGGCCCGGGCACACAAGGAGAAGAGCGTGTCCGTGCTGGAGCACCAGCTGGTGGAGGTGGAGGTGAGGGGCTGCTGGGGGCGTGGGGACTGGGGGTCCCGGCTGAGGGCGTCCCACCAACTGCCTTTGCTTGCCTCCCCTTACAGGAGACGGTGCGGCGGTTCAGGGGCGCCGTTGGGGAGCAGCTGGGCAAGATGCGGCTGTTCCTGGATGCCCTGGAGGGCTCGCTGGACCGGGAGGCAGAACGCGTGCGGGGCGAGGCCGAGGCTGCCCTGCGGCGGGAGCTGGCGGGCCTGCACTCTTACCTGGAGCAGCTGCGGCAGATGGAGAAGGTGCTGGACGAGGTGGCTGACAAACCACAGACCGAATTCCTCATGGTGAGCACCGGGGTGACCCTGGGCCAACGGCTCAGGCTGCAGAGACTTCATGCCATTGTCAGGTGGAAGCTCTGAGGCCCAGAGAGGGGCAGGGATGAGGTAGGGTCACGTACTCAGGACCCGAGCCTCAGGACCATGCTCACGTTGGACACTGCACAAGGGTGCTGTACCCAAGCGGACATAGTCATACTGCAGACGGAATAGGTTTCCATGCATATCAGGACAACCTTTTAACTGAGAAATATGAGTCCCTTGGGGAGGGGATACTGATTTCTAATTCACACGAAGGGACAAGGCTTGGGGTGGCCTTGGGTCTTGGGTTTCGTTTGGCTTTTCCTGCCCCCACACTCCTGGTTGCCTGTCCCATCCAGAGAAGTGCCCAGCGTCCTTTGAGCTTGCTTCACCTCTGTTCTCTTTTTCTCTCTCTCCAGAAACACTGCCTAGTGACAAGCAGGTGAGAGCACCCTGGCTGTGCCCCTTCGCCCTGGTCTTCCAGTCACCCCAGCTAGTTGCCACCCACTCACACACACCAGGTGCCTTCATGCCTCCCTGTACTTTGCAGGAACACAGAAATAAATCAGACCCGCTTCTTATGCAGGGGCTAGGCTGGTGCTGTGACCCAGGAGTGTGTGTGTGTGCGTGTGTGCACGAGCGGCGGGGGATACAGGCATCCCTGTGTGCTCCTGCTGTGAGGCAGACAGAGGTGGACAGGAGGCTTCCCCGTGGGGAGGAGCCCTGAGCTGGTTCTGGAGGGAAGGATGGGCATTAGCTGGCTAGGGCTGGAGGAACATCAGGACAGGAGGAGAGGGAGGAGCCAGGGCAGAGAGCCCAGTGGGTGAGATGAAGCTGGCGTGGCAAACTAGGAAGGGCTGAGGCCGCGGATCTTATCCCAACAGAAGGATTTCATTTATTTTTTTAAATAAATTGTAAAGCTGGGTGTGGTGGCGCACGCCTGTAATCGCAGTACTCGGGAGGCTGAGGCAGGAGGGTTACTGAGAGTTCAGGGCCAGCCTGGGCTACATAGTGAGTTCAAGACAGATTGAACCACACAGTGAGACTCTGCCTCAAAAAGCAAAACTAAAAAACAATTATGTTATATGCATTCTGTAATTTTTTTTTCTTTTTTTTTTTTTTTGAGACAGGGTCTAGCTATGTAGTTCAGGCTGGCCGTGAACTCATGGCAAACCTCCTGCCTCAGCCTCCTAAGTGCAAATTACAAGTGTGTGCCATCATGCCTGGCTTGTTTTAAGCATGAAATGTACATTTTCCCTTCACTGGGGTTAGTATATTCACATTGTGCAGCTCAAACTGACAGTCCAGCAGAAGTTTTAAGCGAGGGTGTCCCATAGGGAGATTGTGGAACCCTCCTTCCCCCACAGCCCCGTCCTCCTGTCCTGGGGAGTACTTTCTGTTGCCCTCCCCCAACAAAGACACCTCCCTTCACCGCCCCGCCCCCAGGCTGCAGAAGATCCTGGCAGAGTCACCTCCCCCTGCCCGTCTGGACATCCAGCTGCCTGTCATTTCGGACGACTTCAAATTCCAAGTGTGGAGGAAGATGTTCCGGGCTCTGATGCCAGGTACCGAGAGGGGCTGGCCCTGGGCTTGGGTGTGGTAACTAGGGCTGCAGCAGGAGGCCCTGCCCCATGCCGAGAGACCTCGATTCCAGCTCAGGGGATCAGGAAGAAGGCTCCCCCCCCCTGCAGCCCTCTGGAAGACTTCTGGGTGCGTGGGGTTCAGGGGTGACACACGGGAAGTCGCCACTGACCTCAAGAATAATGCTGTTGGGTCTGGGGATTTAGCACAGCGGCACAGCACCTGCCTGGCAAGCGCAAGGTCGTGAGTTCGATCCCGGTACCGAAAGAAAAAAAAATAATGCTGTTGGCAGATGGGAGGCCGGGGCTTGGGCTTGAACCCCTGACCCTGTGTCACCCTCGGCCAGGCCCTGCCTCTGGACATGGAGATGATGATTCCTGCGGTCACGGGGTGGGTGGGCCTGGGCTGAGGACCCGAAGCGCTCCTGGAGCCCTGCGGGCTGGCCTGGGTCAGATACTCCGGTGTCCCCTGGCTCTGGTGTCCTATGGCTGGGGTGGTCCAGGGCCTCAGCCTTGCCCGGCAAGAGCTAGAGCACATCCGGGTGCTGCAGGACGCACAGGCCCTTACTGCCTCTGGTCAGTGCGCCGGTGGGAATGCAGACACCCTGGGTGTATTTTTTTTTTTTTTTTTTTTTTTTTTTTTTTTTTTTTTTACTCTTTTTTTTTTTTTTTTGGTCTTTTTGAGACAGGGTCTTGCTGTGCAGTTCAGGCTGGCCTTGAACTCACTTTATAGCCCAGGCTCGCCTCGAACTCGCAACGATCCTCCTGCCTCAGCCTCCCGAGTGCTGGGATTATAGGCATGCGCCACCACGCCCGGCCACCCTGGGTGTCTTGAAGAGAAACCAGACCCAGAGAGAGTGGCTGGGAGGCCAGGTGTGGTGGCGCAGACCTGTAATCCCCGCAGCCTCCGAGGCAGAGGCAGTAAGTAGCAGCCCAAGGTCGGGCGCAGCTCGGTGCCAAGGCCCGGGTTCAATCCCCAGGAGCCCCACTCCGCTCCCGCAAAGGACAGTCC